TAATAATATATACTTTTTATTGCTTATGGCAAAGCCCTAAAATATCTATCTATCTATCTATCTATCTATCTATCTATCTATTGTGTACATACAGTTGTCAATGGCTGTAATAACAGAAAAACTGAATAACACAATAACCACTACTGTATAACCATATCGTTTCTCTTACAAGGCCATTTTTTCTGTCTATCTTCCAGGATGTTGCGATCTATGACGAAAACCAGGACGGCTGCATCGACCAGTTGGAGTTCACAGCTAGGTAGTAACCTGGGGTTGTGGGAGATACTGGGATAAGAAACGGCGATAGGTCGAATTTTTTTATTTAAGATTTTACAATATCTTCTTGTGATCACTAAAAAGGGCACAGTAGACGTGATTTTGGAAGCCAGGCAGACCAAAGAAAAGTGCAGAGAGTAGAAAAAGCCTTATACTCGACTCTTTTTGATTAAACGAAGGCTTTCGATACTATACGTCATGAAGGTTTGTGGATAATCCTAGCAAAGTACCGTTGCTTGACAAAGTCTATTACTATGATAGGCAAATTTCACGACGGCATGAAAACCAGTGTTGAGAGCAATTCTGATATGCCTGAAGCTTTTTATGTTACAAATGGAATGAAGCAGGGCTGTGTGTTGGTACCACTACTTTTCAGAATCATGTTTTCAGCTTGAAATGCTCGTAACAATGCAGAAATAGCTGTGCGTATGAATAAGGCTGGTGCAATCCTTGGAATATTCAGAGCCACACTTCCAAAGTCTCGATTCGCTCGAAAGTATGGAATTTGAGTTGGAGGTATTTTTAACTTCCTCAGCCTCTCCTACAACTGCTTCATCCCCTAAGAACCCCCAAAATCGCAATTTTTCTCCGTACCGGGCATGTTTGTCACCATTTCTTCATAGAGTCATTATTTTATTTTTCTTTACTGGCCGTTTCTTCAGAACGCGACTTACATCTATACGTTTTTGAATAACTCCACCATTTTTCATCCAATCTTCATGAAATTTTTACAGAATGAAGAAAAGATGTAATACTAAAATTTGTTGAATTTTTATATATGGAATAGATTTTTGTTGTTGGTATCTGGAGTGCGGATTTTCACGGATTTTTTTGCAAAATTCAAAGCTACCTTAGGAAAAATTTTTATTAAATGTTTTCTAATTCGTTTAGGAAAAATACAAACAACAAATATTTAGATCTAATATTTACGTAAGACATGTAAAATTAAATCCAATATGGCCGCCTTATCCATGGAAACGAAACGTTTTCCCTAATTTGGTTGCGGATTTTAAGACTCCTTACTATGCTTGTTATATGAGTGAAATGAGGTAAATTTTGGCATAGTAATAAGCGAGATAGCCTTCAGGTGCAGCTCCCCCTCCCCTTTAAAAATGTTCAGTATGTGGCACAATTAATATTCTCTCTATGAATTACTTGGTCTCATCGTTTAAAGCAGAAGCCATAGGTCATCTTAACCTTGAAATCTTATAATTTAAAAAAATAAATCTTCGTTTTCATTAGAGAAACATTCTGCCCTGTTAAATGTTTTGGTCATGTCATCGTGAGACATTGACAGAGGATGTATTATTATAAATTTTTTAAATCATTATTATTATTATCAGCATTATCAGCATTGTCAT